TATCCCCTTTCTGCGAGCATTGCTTACTATAATAGTGATTTCCAGTAATACTGCCAATTGGCTCATTATCCTTTTTCAAACACATAAAATGCACAATTTCATAGTCAAATATAATCCATTTGACAAAGAAAACCCATCTCAGGGCTACAACCTTATAGTCAGAAAACAGTATAACGCAACAAATCCTAGTCATGGTCTAATATGTGTGCCATTAGATAAATATTCCATGCATTATATGTATTTAATCTCTCCATATGATGAAGAATAAGACAATTTCAATATAAAGCTAGGGGTTCATTCAAAACAATACAGACAGTTACGGTTGCTAAATGAGTGGTGGAAATATGTTAGTGTGCATCTCAATAAGGAAGAGGTTTTGGATGACATGAACAAACACTGGAGCCTTGGACTGAGAGGAAAATATCTCAAGATTTTGCATGTTTCTTCTTCTTACGATCATTAGAAATAGAATCCCATCTTGATAACCCACAAGCATGACACTCTTCTTGATTCTTCCTATCTCCCAGTACAACATACAGTCATTTGGACAAGCTGCAATCTTCTCATAACCCAACCCAAAAGATTTAAGAAACTGTTTCATTTAATTAACAATGACCAAAATTGAGAAATAGACTCACAATTTGAAAGTTTCTTCTCCTTAGCACAGCTGTTGTTATCCTAAGCTTAGCTGCTTAAGCAAGTGTCAATGGCCTGCCCCAACATAGAATTCAACTCACATTAAGCTTAAATTAAATAAGAAAATAAAGGTCCAAGCCACAATGATGCTGTTGAAATTAGAAAATAAAGGAATGACCAGCAATACACTAATATTGAACTTCGAAAACATCACAAAATCAACTTCCGAAACTAAAGCTAAATCACGAAACTAAATCACAAAAAAACAAATATAAAGTTGAATTGGAAACAAAAAAACCACATGCAGAAAGTGAAGAAAGAAATCTAATGTTTCCAATGCCAGAGAACTCCACCAAAATGATTTAGCAAACAGGAGATAAAAAGACAAGAATCTAATGAAAAAGTAAACAAAGGAGATCTGAAAGAAAGAGATATACTCGGAGCTAAAAAGCGATTGTGGTCGCAACAGCGTAGCACAAGGCTGCAGCCTTGATATTTGCAGCTTTGGGGCAAATGACACTCCGGCTGCTCAACCACACCTCCCACCTCCCTCGATTGTTTCCTGCGCAACCAGACGATGAGGTTCGTTACCTTAACCATCTCATCGCCACCGCTGAATGTTCAATTCTCAAATTTCAGAGTCATAAACAGGGGATTTTGGAAATCTAAGAAGAAGACACAAACCTGGAGTACTTGATGAGATTCGAAGGAGAAGACACAGAGGATAACGCGGAATCAAAGTGAATATCGGGTTCGAAGAGAAATCAAAACCAAAATTGTAGCTACAATTGCTGAAACCTAATTGAGAGATTTGAAACTTACCTACCACAATTGCTTTAGGGTTTCTGCCTACCCAAGGGAGAGACTCTGGAAATGAAACAGAGATTTTGGAAATGAAAAGAATGAGAGAAATAGCAATGAAATAGAAAAGAACCGAAAAATTGGAAGAAAGGGTGATTCTGGGTTTTGGGACTAAAATAAGACAGTAATAACGAAAGACTTTGTTTTGGGACGCGAGGTTTCAGAAAAATAAAGCTGGGACTCAATTTTGGAGGGATTCTGACATGATGTCTAACGTTATCTTTTTTTTCAAGTTACAGGCGCTTTTTAACCGCTGGAAAATGGATAACATTTGCAAATGCAAAAATGAAGCGCCCAAAAAGCACTCTACTTTAAATTAAAATTCCCAATATATATGATAAACGCCTGAAATAAAGTGCAGGTAAATCTCAAGATTCCTGTACTGACTATGGGATAATGAATTACGACATCCAGATAAAGGAAATGTGTCACAAGCCCAGAAGCAACCAATCTAATCTGAATAATAGCGCAAAGCTTACCATGGGTATCGTAACATGGTCTAATCTAACTTCCAAACATTTCTCCCATTCGTCAACTTAGGTGTATTTTTTTTTTTTTTTCTCTTCCCATCTTCAATCTACGTAGGTCTTTTGGCCGATCAATGTTGAAGGTGTTTGAAAAAGTTTAAAAGGCAAATTAGTATATGCTTTAAAAGAAAATTTTTTTCTTATAAATTTAAAATTTTGAAGAAAAATTTTTAAATAATTTTAAGTAGATTTTTTTTAAAAATTACAATAGATAAAAAAAAATTTATTTTTTATACCGAGTGTTTTTTAAGTTTTGTCCAAAATTTTACTTGTCAGTTTTATTTATTTATTGTTCCAAAAATTTAGCCACCGTGGGGAGGCATTGTGTCTCCTTGGGCGAGGCAGAACGCAAGGAAGGGCTCCAGTTGATTGATATTAGAGCCCCAAACCATTCAAATCTTGATATTTAATATTCTGATGAGAAAACTCATTAGGATTCCAAATTTTTCAAAAAAAAAAAAAAAAAGTAGGTGAAGATCAGATTAAGTTATACCACCTGCTCAGCAGAAGGCATCGGTTGGAATCGAATGATGCTTCTAAGGGTATTCCATAGATCATTTAAGATGGAGGTACTGGGCTCAGAGACAAACATGCTGGCTATTAAGGAAAGTAAATCCCCTCCATGAAGTCCTGGATTGTCTCCATGAAATCCCAGATTTAGAAGATCTCGGAACTGCAATTGTAAAAGATTTGGAACTGTAATTGTAAATACTGTTTCCTAGTTCGATTAGATTCTGTAATGTATAAATTGTACTGCTCCATTCAGTAATGAGACAATGAAGAAATCCTTCTCTGATTCAAGCCTTCATACCTTAACAGTGGTTGGATGACATCCTCATTACTGGTAGTGATCCCTCTGCTGTGTCTTCTCTGATAAATTGCATGAGTACCAGATTCTCCATTAAAGATTTGGGTACTCTTAGCTATTTTCTTGGCATTGAAGCAGTTCCCACCAGTGCAGGACTCTTCCTCTCTCAACACAAGTATGTTAATGATCTCCTCCATCGTTTACGGATGCATGAGGCTAAGCCGGTTGCCACGCCACTTGCTACTAATACTGGTCTGCAGCTCCTCTCTGGCACTGCTCTTTCAGATGGTTCCGATTACCGGCGTCTTATTGGTTCCCTCCAGTACCTCACTCTCACTCGACCTGACCTGTCATTTGCTGTCAACAAATTAGCTCAGTTTATGCATCGACCCACAGAGCTGCATTGGCAGGCAGCAAAACGACTTTTGCGGTACTTGCGCGGTACTCTGTTTCACGGGTTGCTTCTTCAGCCTCAATCTTCTCTCAACTTGCATGCTTATTCAGATGCGGACTGGGCTGGAGATCGGGATACAATGGTTAGCACCACTGGGTATATAGTTTTTCTTGGTCAAAATCCGATCTCCTGGCGAGCTGCAAAGCAAAAAGCTGTTGCTCGAAGCTCCACCGAGGCTGAATATCGTGCTCTCGCTGCTACAGCCTCTGAAGTTGTCTGGATTCGACATTTGCTTGGTGAACTTGGGATCTCTTGCTCTCCTTCTTCCGCCATCTTTTGTGACAACATTGGCGCCACCTATCTTAGCTTAAATCATGTTATGCACTCGCGCATGAAGCATATAGCTATAGACTTGCATTTTGTTCGGGATTTAGTTGATCAACGTGTTCTTCATGTCTCCCACATTGCGTCCCAAGATCAGCTTGCTGATGGGCTCACAAAGCCCCTCTCTTCCATCCGGTTTGCTCACTTACGGTCCAAGATCGGAGTTGCAAATGGCACCACCGTCTTGCGGGGGCGTATTAAGGAAAGTAAATCCCCTCCATGAAGTCCTGGATTGTCTCCATGAAATCCCAGATTTAGAAGATTTCGGAACTGCAATTGTAAAAGATTTGGAACTGTAATTGTAAATACTGTTTCCTAGTTGGATTAGATTCTGTAATGTATAAATTGTACTGCTCCATTCAGTAATGAGACAATGAAGAAATCCTTCTCTGATTCAAGCCTTCATACCTTAACACTGGCACTATAGTAGGTTGAAGGCATGGGACCGAGCTCTGTTGGCCGCTGGGAACTCCCGGGCACTGCTCGTACAGAGGATGACTCCATGCTCAGTACAGAAACAGCCCAACGGGGCATGGATATCCATCTGGAAAGTCGAAAAGGAAATCGATGGCCAACAGACTTGCGTGTCTCCCTCTCTTAAGTATATCATCTTGTACTCCTCAAACTGCAAATTTAGTAACAAACCAATCAGGCGCACAACAAAATTATTTAGAAATTAAGAGGAGTTGGTCAAAATGCAAGGAGTACTTACCTGCCAGATAAAGAGCTTGAAGTACTTGTTGATAGAGGGGAATTGATACGGATGATAACTGGGAATGTTTCTTGAAGTGCTGATAAACTGGTTGGATCTCCTTCACTATGCACCCCAAGCCCTCCAGTATCTTCTGGTATTCCTCAGGAACATCCGGTGGGATGGCCACCACAAGTGAGTACATGCTCTTCACCTTCCTCATCCCCCTGGCCAACCTCGCACGCCCTTCCAATCGTCCCCGTTTCCAGCCAACAGGGTGACATAAGCCGTCCTGGGGATCTTTTTTCCTTGAACAAACGTGTTGCGGTGTTATTTATGCCATCTTATTTATCTCAAATTTTAATTTCAAAATTTTAATCTCTATTATCATTATTCTTTCAACTTTGGTTCAATGAACTTCATACGAAATGAGCAGAAATCAAATGACTACAGCAAAATAGAGTTGTTTGTATTTGTATGACGTAGTTTTAAATTTTGCAAAATGCATAGTTAATTTTTTTCATCGAAACTGTCAATTATTTTCTAAATATGCTGATTAGTAATTACATTTCACATGAGGTTTTCTTAAAGAATGATTAGTTTCATGGTATGCAGGTGAAATAAAGAATAAAAGATAGGACCTCTCATTGTATAATTAAGATAAAAAAAAAATAATTAATTACTCATTATATCTCAATATAACTGTAATTTTTTTTTTGTTTTAAATTAAAATTTTGAAGATAATTTTCGTATTTATTTATTTACTTTTTTAAAAAATAATACGTATTCCATTCAACTTTACTAAACCTAATTTTTAATTTAAAATATTTAAAATTAATTGTTCATTTTTCATCTTTAAGACATTATTTAATATGCTTATTCTTATCTTACTTTTATTTTAAAAAGATAATTATAATATATATTAAATAAAAAGACTTATTTAAATAGTGATTTATT